CTTGGGTCAAAATGCTGCTTCCCTAATATTTTCGGGTTTCTTATATTGCCATCATGCCTCCATCGAGCGCTATGAAAAACCCCGAAATTTGGTCCTCGCAACCGAAGTTTTTTTCTTTATGACGACTAAAAAAACGAGTGCATATATAGTCGAGAATTTTCATTTGTACATCTGACATCTTATCTGACAATCATAAGTGATACATCTAATCATGCAATTGGGTTCAAATTGCTGCTTTCCTGTTATTTTCGGGTTCCTTCTATTGGAAAAAATTTCGCTACGAAAAAAACCGAGATTCAGTCCACGCAACCGAAGTTTTTTCTACACGACGACTAAAAATAAAACGAGTGCACGTTCGGCAACTGCGTGCGGCGCGCGCATTCTTCCGACAACCGCGCCAGACGAAGAGAATACCATCACTTCAAACCGGAGACGTGAGCCGTAGAGGGTTGGCAGTCCAACAGCTCGAGTCTCCCCGATTCTTGACTTCAATTTCGCAACCCCCCCTCCGTCCCCCGTCCCTGCACCGTTCGATGGATTAGGCGGGGCCGGCGAGGGGGGAGGGGGTGGCGGGGATGGAACTTGGAGAAATAAGCTCTCGCTTCTCAATTAACCGATACCCTATATTCACTCGGGTTCCCGCGAGCGTCGGGAAGGAGCGGTGACGTAATCCTTCATCTCGGGATGCGGGCGAGACATCGCGGCATCGCGAGATGAGCCCCGGGTTTCGAACTCCGGACTCCTGGATCGGAAACGAATCCCTCGACGACAGCGGCGAGGCTTGCTGTGCGATACGTCGATTGATCTGTCATTTAAACCTACGCTGGAAAAAAAAACCACATTGGATCTAGAGTCCAGACTCTTAAAAACATCGACAAGAAAAAATAATCTTGATTCAATCAGATTTTTGCTTAAATCAAGAACCAAGCCTCTTAATTTGAGCGGATTTCCTTTTGATTTAAGCTTAAATCTGATTGAATCGATAGTATTTTTTCTTGTCAATGTTTTCAAGAGTCTGGACTCTAGATCCAATGTGCTTCTTTTTTTTTTCCAGTGTTTAGAAAAGGTTCGCTAAACAGTGTGCTCGCAACGAACATCTTAATAATCGTGTGAGTTATTTCAAGAATCAAGGCGTTTTATAATTATTGATTGTTAATTGGACTACATTTTGCGATTAGGAACTATAAATTCTAGCCCGGTTTAAAAACAACGTATATGCCATTCGTGGCGAGGCTTGCCGTGCGATGCGTCGATTGATCTGTCATATAAACCTACTATAGGAAAGGTTCGATAAACAGTGTGCTCGCAACGAACACCTTAATAATCGTGTGACTTATTTCAGGAATCAAGGCGTTTTATGGTTGGACTTTATTTCGCAATTTGGAACTATAAATTCTAGCCCGGTTTTAAAACAACGTATATGTGCAATTTGTTTCCCGATGCACATAGGTGTTTTTCCAGAAGAGCCAGAATCTATAGTCCATGGACTGCATTTTGCAATTTGGAACTATAAATTCTATCCCGGTTTAAAAACAACGTATGTGCCATTAGTGGCGAGGATTGCCGTGTGATACGTTGGTTGATCTGTCATTTAAACCTATAGAAAATGTTCGATGAACAGAGTGCTCGCTACGAACACCTTGATAATCGTGTGAGTTATTTCAAGAATCAAGGCGTTGTATAGTTATTGATTGCTAATGGAGATGTGGCATATGTGAGGAATTTGCGATTTGACTAATGATTCTTGTGTAAAAGTTCGCGAGAAACACTATCATACCACTGGCTTTCTCTGAAATCAACTTCCAAGCTCAAAATAAGCTCTCAAGTTGAGGCCAAAATGGAGGGGATACCCCACGCTATACCCTGAGTGTCCACCTCTGGGTTTCGAATGGTTTTTTTTTTTTTAAATACTGTATTATATATAAAATTAAGCTGATTTTAGAATGAAAAGAGAGAGTTGTAAATGGGTCAAATTTTCTATAATCTCTTGATTGATACTTGCTGAAAATTTTATTGATTTTCAGGAATATTTACAGAGTTGGGTGGAGTGTACTTAATACACCTAACCTATACGTATATATATGTTCTTGCCTATACTACTAAAAAGGAAGAAATTTGGCCAATAACGAGAGACATTCGGCGTGCTGAATGTGCGAGAAAACTATGAAAAAGTAGTGGAGGGGAGGGGGATACATCAGAAAAGCCCTTGCTCCGGTGTCAAATCATCCTCACCTAATTCGACTCATTTGCTGATCACCCAAAATATCCCCAGGTTTTATTTCTTTAACGGAGAAATAAACAAGATAACGTCTTGAAACTTTTAGTGACATTCTTTTCAGATATTCAATAATATCCACAAAAAATCTTGAGTTAGAACGATTCGTAGTTTTCTGTTGAAATGAAACGATGCAGGTAAATTAGGTGACTTCTAACGTAGTTCAGCTGATTTTGGTAAAAATAATGCATCCAATCTTACATGCCTCAAATATTTGTATTACTATAGTGCTTTTTCATGCATAGGTTAAATTTCTCGAGAAACACGGCGGTTATGCAAGTACTTGTTTATTTTTTCTGGAATTTTTTACAGAATTTTGTTCTTGGATTAAATCTAGTGGCTTGAAAATTTCAAAGAAATATCCTCGTGCATTTTCAAAAAAAAAAAAAAAAAAGAAAACTATCAAGAGAGATTTGCGGAAGTCCGAACAGTGTGCATAGGACGTTTTCTTTGAGCACAGCAGCGCAGTTCTGTGTTGTTGCGTGTTAGTTTACGAGGGGGAAATGCATTTGTGATTCTGCCGCAAACTGAAAGTTGGCAATGGATCCAATTTTTGCAGAGAACGCTTTAAAATGCAAGGTAGTTGATTCTTTTATATCCAGCGTTGGCTCTTGAGAACGCCTTTGAACCTCGCTGTGGTCGCCAGAACAGCTTATCGTAAGCTCATTTGTCCTGAACAAGTTTCTGAACAAAATTCATGCACAACTTCTTCCTCCCGTCGAAGTGAACTGCCATCTAAGCTGAAAAGTTTCTTTGACAAACAACAACGTTATCCCATACGGCCCGGGCAGCCCAGTTAATGCATCGCACGGTAATGGTCGCAAAAGTCCTACCACCTTGATATATATACATATAAAATGTTACGCTCTTTTCTCACTATTTTTCTTTGCCTTCGTGAAAAAATAGCATGAGTTCAAATTTCAAATCTTTTGGAGATTGTAAGTTTTTGAGCCTTTTTCCGGAATTTTTCAGGTGATGATGAAAATTGATGGCGGAAGTCGAAATAGTCGGATCTCCGATTGCTGCGTTGGAAATCTCCGCTTCATGTTTTACCATTTTAAAGTTCATTATTATTTTAGTTGTTTTTGTAAAACAAAAAAATTACTCCCTTTTTTAAAATAAAAATAATTCTGTGAAATTTTTTCACAAATTCAATGTACCCACACGATCTTTAAAAAAAAAAAAAAATTAATTTAGTCTAATTTATTTTAAAGAAAATAAAACGCAGTTGAGACGTTTCAATACTGCAATTGATATACGCATTTTTCGACTTCATCGATAGTAATATGTATACTTCAACCCTAAATGTTGAAGAACATTTTGGAGAATCAAAACGTACGGCTCTTCGCCTGGTAAGAATATTCGCTAGAGTTAAAACACCATTTTTATTAAAGTAATTGCTAGGAAGATTTTGTCAAACGAGATAGAATTAATTAAATAAGCAAGGCCGTAAGGCACATCCATAATTATTGATCTGATTCATGAAAAAGGGTTAAAATTGTCCTAAAAACCATTCAGGATATTTTCACTCTTCGTGGGAGTAATGCACCACTAAAGAAAGTAAAACAAACCTCGTCTAGCTATCTCTCTTCAAAGGGTGCGGTCTAACCTTCTTTTTCATCCTTCCTCCAAATTATGAGTCTCAGTTTAGGTCCCGTTCTATGATCGCTGGTTAAATTTAACCTCTCGTTACAGCAAAACTTTCAACGCTATTTTGGAGGGTTTTGAAACTAGTGATATACTTCACGATTCAGAAGACATTTTTGGTTCCGTTGAGACATTTCGTTACTGATAATCTTGTAAAATCCAGTTAAATTTTAACAGGTGCCCAAGGTGCTTGATAAAAGCCAACAGAAGGATAAAACCCGTGACAAAAGATGATGGAAACGGACCGAAGCTGTGCAACACGGAAAGAAATAGGCAGGGGCTAAGTTCCAACTGTTGGATGAAATGAAGTTTTCCAATAAATTATAGCAGTGCACCAACTAATTGTGGTAGCGCTGAATAAATTAGGTTATTGACCCAAATTTTGGGGTATAATCCCACCTAAGGAGCAATGCTACCAAAATCAATTGGAAATATCCGTCCATATCATCGAACAAATCGGGGTGGTACCACAATAGAGATGTTGCACGTGTGAGAAATTTTCGATTTGACAATTGATTCTTACGTAAAAGTTCGCGAGAAACACGATGGTGCCACTGGTTTTCTCTGAAATCATCTCTTAAGGTCAAAAAAAGCTCTCAAGTTGAAGCCAAAATGGAGGGGATATCCCACCCTATCCTGAGAGTCCACCTCTACATCAAGCCGAACTCTTCATGCAAAAGATAGGGAGCAAATACATTGACAGGGCTGCCACTTTATTTGGGGACTCCAAAACTGAAAACACAGCAACCCTGATAATGTAGTCGCTCCCTTTCTTTGCATGGAGAGTTTGTCTTGATGTAGAGGTGGACTCTCAGGATAGCGTGGGATATCCCCTCCACTTTGGCCTCAACTTGAGAGCTTTTTTTGAGCTTGGAAGTTGATTTCAGAGAAAACCAGTGGCACCATCGTGTTTCTCGCGAACTTTTACAAAAGAATCAATTGTCAAATCGCAAATTCCTCACACATGCAACAATTCCATTCTAGGAAATAACCCCTAACACTTTTTTCCCGTGAGGAGTGCCTTCAAACCAACAACAATCAAAATTATAAAGTTGCTACTGACAGAGTCGAGATTTACCTTCAATCGGATGAAAATGGACAGTGTTGTAATGATAAAATCCAGCGAAACGCAGAGAAAAATCCCGCTTGGCACCATTCGATTTCACATGGCGATTTCGGATTCGTAACACTGACCACTTCACACACACTGTCTTTCGTTTTTCAGTCCGGTTCGAAGACACCTGAACCGGGGGAGCGTTAGAGGATTACATCAACCTGAAAAGACGACCATCGCCTCTCATCCGAGGATTCCGGAAACTTGCTTAAACTTTTAAGCTACACACAACGCTTTTCCAACTGGAAAAACGGCCAACCTCAACGGTCTTTACACTTGAAAACCAACGGGTTTCAGGCTGGCGTTTCAGGCGAACTTAAACTTGAAAATCGGCTCTTTTAAACGTAGAAATGAGCGTTCACAAAATCGGACCAAGTTAAGTTCGAGGGGATTAAACTCAGCACTGAGGTGTGGCTAAATTTTACCAGTCGGACTCAACTTTGTTGAAACTTGAAAATCGGATCTTGTTTTTCGACTTGTTCGTACACTTGAAAAATTGAACGTTGCGGCCCTACAAATGAGAGTTTAAAAAATCGGCCGCAGTTCGGTTTAAAACTCACTCGATTTTGTGGCTAAACGTTTTTCAGACTCGAAATTCGGGCGAACTACGCGTTTCCAGACTGGGAATTCGGGCGAAATCAACGTTTTGCGACTTGGAAGTCGGTAAAAAATACGCGTTACGAAAATCGGCCGAAATTAGGTTCGAATCGGAAAAAACAAGTTCGGGGTGCTTTTTCCGGGGGGCGGTTTTTCGGCCACGCGACTGGGAGGCGTCCGGGGGGCGTCGCGTCTGTTCGCGCGGGGATCTCGGCCGGAACTGCTTCGGCGAGTGCACATCGGGCGTCGGGTGTCGGGCGTCGCGGAACCTGCGCGCCCGCTTTTCGGCGGGAAATGTCACGGCGCAGGCGCCGCGGCAGTGAAGGCGCCGCACATTGGATCCAATCAACGGGAAAAGTCGGACAAAATTTGGAAGCTTTAAAAGCTCTATGACTCCGATCGTACAGAACTTTGAGGTTTTAAGAGTGGTTTCCTTGGGAAATGTCCTTCTAAAAGTACCCATTAGAGTTTATAATGTGACGAAATGAACCAAAATTTGTAATTTCGGTCGAAAATTTCATGTGTGACTTTTTCCGAAGACTCGTTCCACTGTGCGCCACACACTGGAACGAGTCAGCGAGGGAGGTCAGTCTTAAACCTGCGAATTTTTAAGTTTATTCTGTTATATTTTAAGTTTTGAGAGCAGTTTCTGATAGAAAATTGATAGACTCAGTTTTAAACTGCAACCGAGTCTACCAGATCCACAATTCGGACTGTGTCTGCTTCCACAATCCGCGGGTTTTTTAATATATCTGCGATTTTGATATAAAATTAAGAAAACTGTGAATTTTTTAGTTTATTTCGTATCATATTAGCTTTTGAGAAGAGTTTCAGATAGAAAATTTGACGAGAAATCCACGAGACTCAGGGACAGGGATAGACTTCAGCGATTTTCCAAACTGCTAGCAACCCTGTTTCCAAGCCTTGTCCGGCCCGTCTCTCGACTGGACCCATCGTGCGGCGGTGCTGTGGGGCTCGGCTCGGTGCGGAATTCGCTGGCGTATTTCCGTGATTTCACGGCGATCAACAGGCTCGCGGTTCCGGCCGTGCGTGCCCGCGGGTGCAGCCGGGCGGAGTGACGGACGCAAGCGACTGGAAATCGCCGTGATAAATCGTCCGCCGGCCCAGCCTCCGGGAGACCGGGCCTCGTCCGAGGTGCGGGTGCGCTTGGGCGGTGCCTTTGCCGGGGGATCTAGAGTACCTGTATAGCGAGAGTATGGACAGATGTGAAACTCCGAAAATCCATCAGGCCTTCACCGATGCTTCCGCGAATAAAGTTAGGGCCTAGAAATGCAGCCAACCTATGAATTTCAATTAACCAGAACGATTTACTAATACTATTGTTACGAGACGTCGTTTATTAAGCACTTGTTTGACTCAGTTTTTGCATAAATTTACTCAATTTCGCGGAAGAACGCTCATTTCTGTACATTCTTGGCCATCATGGTTAGAATTGGAATCTGCAGACTGGCAGTGAAATTTTGTGCGTTAGAAGTTGGTTAGAAGGGTGGCTGCACTTTTGGGCCCTAAGCCCTCCATGAAGCGATCTGTCCATACTTTCGCTATACAGGTACTCTAGAGGGATCATCCCGTGGCCATGTCCATAGGTACTCCCTCTTAAGGTGAATCCAGGCTTGGAACTTCGCGATTTGGCCACCACGTCGCGCTGCTTAGAAAAGCCGCATATATTTGCCAAAATAATAACAACCGTATTACTTATTCAAGATTGGAGATCCAGGGGGTATGGCAACATACTTGAGGAACACTCAGGAAAAAAATCTTCTCAAAATTCCCAAAAATAAAGTCTTAACTACGGCGGAAAGTAATTCCCATTGCGGCAATAGGAGAGAGAGAGAGAGAGACAGAACATGAGGGATTCCGTTGCGCGCTCGGCCACCGCCTCTGAGCTGAAAGTTTCAGTCGTACTTTCTCTGCGCTTGTAATTCTAATTGCCAATAACTTTGGCTCAAAAAATGAAGCAAAAATTAATCTATATGTTGTGGATCTGCTTTTTGTAATTCGAGGAATATTATTTCAGTGATCGTCGAAGAAAAGTGAAATTCTCAGTGGTGACTGGTGGCGCTATCTCTAATCTTAAATTATCCCTAATCGAACCCTGGATTCACCTTAAAAGGCTCCCTAGACCGACTGGACAGCGAGAAGATCCCGCGCGAGAGATGGCAACTGCACTTCCGTGCTGAGGAAGAACGCCGTGTGGGCCAATATTGACGTGCTAAGGAAGAACCCCGTATGAACATTCGAGAGTTGCCAAATTTCCCTTGATAAAAAATGTATTTTTGACAACAATCATGCATATTTTTCCTTAAAATTTTCAAATATTTTAGATTAAATTGCGTAAAAAGTTGTCTGAAAATTTTGGCAAATAATACTCGCAATTTTCCCATTAAATTCCGTTTTTATCGAAGGAAACCTGGCAACGTCTGAAGGCTCATACGGCGTTATTCCTTAGTACGGCAAAATATGCATTGCCTTATTTCCTACAAGAAAACGGGTTAACAATGAAATTGTGACTCAATTTTTCCGAATTTTTTAGAAAATTTTGTACGCAATTTAAGCAAAAACAAGTCAGGGTGTCTACTAAAAAAGGCTGGTCATAAATCAGTACATTTGCAGTATTTTTTTCAGTACATTCTCAAAAAATTCAGTGCTTCCTTGACAGAAAAATTCAGTACTTTCTTGGTGCCTACAATTGACAAAATTCGAGAATTTCAAAAATCTGAATTTCCCGCTCACGTTGCAACAAAAATGGCCCATAAAAACTGAAAAAATTCGGATCTACTTGCGGAATTCCCTCACTTTTTCAGTACTTCCGGACGGCCCTTTAAGATCAGTACAATTTCCGGAAATTCCGGACTTGTCGGCACCCTGGTGCCATCGAGCATTGCCTTTTTTCCTTCGACAAAAAAACGAGTTGACTATGAAATAGTGACACATTTCCCCCAAATTTTTCAAAAAATTCTGTACACAATTTAATAAAAAAAAGTGCTAATTTCAAATTGCATAATTTTTCTAAAACATTCGTTCTTCTGGCCGCGGTAATTTGGCAACTCTCGAATGTTCACACAGCGTTCTTCCTTAGCACGATGTTAGCAGATATCGTCTGGTTGCGGTTTGCCTTGTTTCGCCGCATAGACAATGAAACTCCAAAAACTGCACAACTCTTGTGTCGCTTAAAAGTGATAAAGGATTTGAAACAGAAACCATCGCAAATTTTGCGTCGATTATGGTGCAGTTTGCGGCGAATTAAGCGCATAGAAAACAACGGAAACACGCCAACTGAACGACTGCAGTGCATTTGACGCAATGCGAGAAGTATTCCTGAAGTCTTGCAGGCGCTAATATACGTTTGACGCCGCCCCGCGCCGGCCGCGTTGTGTTTGGCGCGATTATTCAAACTCGCGTAGGAATAATTGCGGCATCGAATGATAGAGTTTGGAAGGCCCATGTCGTGTTTATCGCGTATCTTCATAAATTTAAATGGGTCATATCCCATTATTCTGTATACTATCCCTAACAAGTCAGTACACAATACCATGACCTTTTTCAAAGGTGATAATTTCAAGGAAGAAAGAGCAGATTTAGAGGAAAACATCGGGAATCAATTGACACAATCGAACATAACTGAGAAAATGTTAGAAGCTAAGTCCACTTGAAACAGAATGGCAAACTTTGTTGCGCAATTATTGACAGTAAAATTATCAGACACACATACCTTTGCTGTTGTAGGGCCGACAGGCTGTTCCAGCGCCGAGGAATTCCTACGGAATAAAGAAATCAGTAATTAGTGCCTTGTGGACTACAGAATAAGAAATGAAGTCAATGCGATGAAACAACCATTTCAATGACAATAGATTATGTTACAGTCCAAAAGTTTAAAAATTACATAACTCCGGTAGTTATGAAATTGTTGTAACAAACGTGGACATGAAGAGAGCCAAATAAACAAAATATAGGCAATAAGTACACCTACTAATAAATATCGTAAACTTGAAGTTTTCCTTCAAGTTCGTCACATAGGCAACAAGCATACTGGGGTCATTGGGAGCCCGGATATTTATCTCTTCGAAAACCACACGTATATTTCGCTAAATGAATTACGATAAAGCCAATTTCTATTATCGCATTCCATGGATAAAATATGAATTTTTCGGGAAAATTTTGTCCGTGATTCAATCAAAATATCTGAAAATTTCACGAGAAAATAAATCAGGTTACCAAAGAATTCAGAAACTGAAATCCCCACAAATTTCCCTGGTTTCCCTGACGCGTCTTGATAAAATTCTCTGAAAAATGAAAGTATGCCAGAGGGTTAAAAAGACATAATTTGAGATGGTTTTCAGACAAGATTTTTCGTTTGAAACGTCAGACCCATTCTAGAGGGCAAACACAGAAGACTTCAACATTTTTTCCTTACACCTTCGTCATTTTTCCTAAAAAACCCAGGTTTCCCCGGTTTTTCAAAATTCCCTGAAATTTCCCGGCTTTCCTACATTGGAAAAAAAAATTACGGGCTAAACAGACATACCGTCCTCAGGGCTCAGAGGCCGAAAGTTCCGGGTGCTGGAACCGTAGCCGCAGCTCCAATTACTCTGGATACTACGTCCGGAACGCGGACGGCGGACGGTATGTCTATGAAGCCCGTAAGTACGGCTTTCATGGCCGGAGATTTTTTTCAGGGTGGTATTCCCTGACTGTAGCAACCCTGAAATGGACGTATTTCTATCAAACGGAACTAAGCGCCAATCTGAGTTCCTTTTGAGGAATTTAGAATCCCGGATAGCGCGTTCTGTCAAACGGACCTAAGCGCCATAGAAAAGCAGTGCGAGTAGCCGGACGCCCGATTCCGCCGCCAATCCAAGCCACCCCTCTACCTCACCCTATGGCGCTTAAGTCTGTTCGATAGAAATACGTCCAAATAAGCATAACTTTCTACCGACAATTTTTTTTTCCCGAGAAATTTGACAACGTTCGAATGTTTAACCTGCGTTTTTCCTTAGCACGGCATGCAGAATCATCCCATCCCGTCCCTTCCTCGAAGACAAGCCGCTCGACCAGGGAGGGTCAACGAACATTGATTCCCCGAAACGCGGCTCGGCATCATTAATTCGCCTTCAATTAGCGGATATGCAACCAAACAAGCGCGGCTGCAGGGCAGGGTGGTCCAGCTGCGGTGATCAGCGAAAATAT